ACGAACAAATTCCAATTTTTCTAATCGGATTTGACGTGTGTTTTTAATGTAATAATTGCGAATATAATGCCTTTTTTTGCGGTAGTACAGAGTAGAAGTATTACTTCCAACCTCCCCCTTCCTCGAAAGTAAATTAAAATAGGTGAGTGCTTAAGAATGTCTCCGGCAAACAAAATTTCGTTCTGTAGTTTCATTGCATTTTTGTCTAAAATATCGCCGAAAGTGACATAATTAATCTGATTACAAAGCAAACATCCTACACCGGCATTACATGAAACTTTTTTATGACTGTACATGGCAAAATCCGGCACGGGGTCTGGTATTTGGGCCGGGCCTGTGGTTGGCAGCTCAGATACTGTTAAAAACATCCGAACCTGGTGGAAATGATCGCAAATAAACGTAAAAAAGAACATTTCGGGCCCCCCTGGGACCATACTTTTGTCGCAAAGGAAACGTTATTCTTAGTTTCGCATATTTTATGCTCATTACACAATCGGGCTCCGGAAGAAAATCTCATTCACTTTATTGTATGTAGGATTTTCGTAGGTGCCCCGTCCCCGAAAGAACTTAGAAACTAGGTATCCGATATCCTTGTACCGTTCTCCAGACCCCTGAGATAATATAATGATACGACAGTTAGGGTAGATTGTGAATAGATCGGGCAAAGTTACAGCTTTCGTTTTTTTATAACCTAACCTAACCCAACTCGGGAATAAAGTTGATTTTGAACATGCCTCTGTTCATGTTGGCACTCTTCAGTCGACTTCTCGGAAGTCACGCTCATCTGGAATTTAGCATAGAATTTCATTTCAATTTCCAGATTTATTCCGAAAACCGCCGACATGGATAGACGAACCTCCTTGGACGACAGCTTCAACGACCAGGCACTTCCTATTCCTATACAAATCTTCCTCTGGCGTCAAGTCAGGTAAGAATAACAGCAATACGAATGGACTTACATTTCTTCTCAAGGCCCAACAAATCCACTCGACTGCTCGTTCGGGAAGAATGGAAAATCTTTTCTATCAGTGACATACGCTCGGGGCCTTTTCTGTCGTGTCGTTTCAGGATTTGGACACCGCGTCTCTCTTGAGATAGACATTAGCTTCAGCTAATGGACCCCATCAAAGTGTGTTTTAGTATACTTCCTGATGACGGAAGCAGAGCGTCGCTTCTGAGACGTGTTATTTTTATCTAAAACGATACGATATAAAAAGCCCAGAATAGGCCATGTGCCGGATAAATGAAGTCACAGCCAAGTTCGTTGATCTGTGCACCTTCAAGTAACAGCATCCGATGTACAGGACCGATTTGAACTAAACTCGGTACGAAATACAGAAACTAAGCCTTATGGAGCTTTATTTTAAGGGAAGGGCCCCAACAAACCTGCAAGTGAATGTTTTGAGTTCTTAGATGTTTTGTGGTGTGAAATGTGTGAAGTGTTATACAAAGTGTAGCTTTGATTCACTTGATACATTTTAAGGGCCTTGTTAAGGCATTTGCTTAATATAACTTACCGTCTTCCACAGCCCTTTCATTAGACCGAAACTTGGAAAACTCCACGAAGCCTCTTGTATGGTAAGTGTAAAGCATGCAGTTTAAATGTGCACCCGGCTTTCATATTTACGTAATGTCGCTCAGTGTTGGCAGCAGTGCATTTGTAAATAATATTATCTTTACAGAAATTGCATGCGATTTAAATTCAAGCGTAAAAAAATATATATATTTCCAGCATAAATATTACTTTTTAATTCAACCATTCGAGGCCGCAACGTCAACTAAATATTTAAAATGATAATTCCTACCTCAAAGAAAACAGTGCGTTAGTATGACAACGTTCAGTTGGAAATAACGTTGTGAAGAATTGCGGTAACTCTTGTTCGATTTCATTGTTGGCAGTTCAGAGGTAATTCACTGATGACAGCACACGTATAGGTCTATTGTAAGCGCACTTCATCATTTTAAATTAAGAACCACGTTTGAAATGCACTTTATACAAAACCAACACAAATAAAATTACGAGGAACAATTTGACGTTGGTGAAACGATTAAGCCTAAATCGGCAAATGCGGTTAGATTAGTCTTGTGTTAATATTAAATTGTTAACAGTTGCGAAACTTGCCGCGGGCCGGATGTACGACGACGTGCCGCGGGTTGTGCATCCTAGAATTAGACTCTTGCACGTGATGATATCCAGAAAAGCACAGACGATTGTTTGTAGGAATTTTTAATGCACATTTTACAGTCGAGTTGCTAATCCTATTCTAGAAAATCGTTTTGTTAGCAGTGGCTTTCAAGTTTAATTTATAGTAGTACCACGTGTGCTTATTGATACAAGGTCACTGCAAAGTTGTTACCTGGATTTTGAATTCATAACCATGAATACCAAAATTAATTTCCACAATTTATAGTTAACGTTTGGGCTTTTATGTCAGCTAAAAGAGGATGCCTCAATTTGACAGGTTGCAGTACGTGTATAATATCAGATTAATTTAAAAAAATATATACACAATATTTGGAGTATTTGACAAAACATATAATATTAGTAGAAAATTTTGGATTTGTTTGAGAGCAGGACAGTTCTCTCTGGCCTGACACTGCTGCATACTGCCTAGTAATTACATCCAGGAGCAAAATGTGAACTGCCTATTAGAGAAGTTTGTTATGTATTGGCCGTATTTAATATTGATTGATGTCGTAACTTTTAAAATTAATGACCGGTTTCAATTTGCGCTTCAAAGCAATCTCTTCACATTATGAGCATTTTATGCAGAAATGAGAACTTCATGAACTGTTTATGCCAATTGTAAATTATGTATTAATCATTTTGTTTTTTAACTATTAATAGTTACCTTAAAACATGTAAATATATGTGGGAAAGTGCTTGCTGAGAACACTTTTATTTTGCTTTTATTCACGTAGTCGGTGCACTAGCGTAAATTTGCACATGGCATTGAGCTGGCATGCTTATCGTTGAATCACTAATGTATTTTCTTTACAGCAAATATATGTTTGTGTATGTCTGAGTGTTAAACTTGAAATTATATGGACCTGGAGATGCCGGTTGGTACCGGCGTAACCAGTGCTCAGATTATGTCTGAAAGCTTACTTTGGTGTTAGTAATATTAGACTTTCGGTTTATATTACCTGGGATTTAATTATGCACTCTGAATAGGATTTTTCTGGTATGTAATTTCTAATAATAACAATGAACAATAAAATGAAAATATTTGTGTCAAAAACTGAATGATGTTTCTGACAGTGTACTCTAAGTTATTTAGAAATCTGTTTAGTTCTGATGCATTTTAACTTGGTAGGCCCTCGATATATTGTGAAGATATATTTACTGTCTTTCTTGTATAACAAAATCAACCAACACAAATTACACACAAGTAGGATAGAACGTAGTATGGTACAGGGAAATTTTGTAAAGTGAAGAAAATTTAGGTTTGGTGTTGTGTGCAACATTGGTTTCTGGCGTGGATGGTGTAGATGGTTTAACTGCACTTCAGAGGTCCCTGATGTAATTTAAGGTTAGAAATGAACTGTTAAGTAAAATTAAATGACAGGGCAATTTGGTATTTAGCCAAATTGATGCACAATTGCAGAACTTATTGAGAATGACTTCTGTCGTGAAATAAGTTTAATTTTTTTAATTGCAAAGTTGTTTTTCAGGTTTGCATCACAACATAGATGTTGTCATGTGAAAATGCTCAACATGGGATGGGAACATTTATAAAGTGAATCTGTTCAGTATTTGTGTGAGTTGTGCTGATGCTGACATCAAAAATGATTTCAGTCATGTTTGGAATAGTGACGTTTCTTCACCATTTTGTTTGCTTGCAGAAGTATGTTACTAAACTGAATATTTAAACTCAGAAAGCAATTAACAACTAAATATATTACTTCTTATTAAAACCGAGTAAAATCACACTTACCTTAACTGAAGTGAATCCGAGCTTCATCTGTGTCTGAACTTAAGCTTATGTGATTTGTACATTGTATGTGTGTTTATTCTTTGTTTCATTTTCATGCTGTGTTTGTGTCGTCCAGTTTTGTCAGCACGCACCTGGTCATCATGTAAGTGTCACAGTCACAAACTGGGGTGGTTCAGTGCTTAAAGTGTGAACATTTAATTTGACTAGATTGCGTATGTGAATCAGAAGAATGGTGTCAAAGTATTTGCTGTTAAGGTTCCGAGTAAGACAGACATAAAATGGCATTTCTAATAACATTTGATAGAGATACATGTTCTGAACCTGGTTACGAGCTAATCCTAATTATGTTTCAGTTTACTGCTGTAACATAATCCAGAAGTGATAACTGAATGTAATTCCGTGCTAGAAACACCTCCAATAAAAGAGCTGTTTACATGGAGAAAGAACTTGTCCCAGCTCGTTACACTTTACTGTGGCCGTTTACCACGAGCACACTTTGAGTCCTGGTTACCCCACACAATCTAAATCTACTTGTACATGACTTGCCGTATTGATATCTTCCTCGCTGTGCTTGTTTGTAAAAAATATGATACAAGTTTAAAGAATTACCTTTGTTGACTTTTAATTTCATACATCACATTCTACTCTGCCCTTGGTACATGACTGAACATGTAAAGTGTTGATGACAGACTCTCGGGCTACAAGCCGCTTCAGGTGGCTGAATGGTGAAAACACCATATCCTCTGCCAACGTAGCTCGAGAGTCTTTCATCGACTTCAGACGCCACGAAAGTATCACTTTATACATGTAAAGTGTTGTGAGTAATTCAAGAAGGTTAGAAATATCGCATGGTTAGGATTGGGAACAGTTCAGAGAATAATATAGAGGTATAAAGTAAATTTTGGTCTCTGTATTGGCTTAACCTGTAGGTCTGGTGTGAGTTTTAAGGGAAGTTAAAAGTTATTATTTGCGTGCTAGTTGTCATAATATCAGCATAGAAATTTGAAGTATTTAATTTCTCTAAACAATGATTTAATATGAGGATTGATTCATAATCTGTCAGAATTATTTCTTTTCATCAGTATTTCTAGCTTGTCATTAATCCATTGTGTTCAAATAATGGGCTCACCTGATTTATGGGAACTTTAAGGAGCCAGAAATCTGCACCGTGTATAAGATATCCTGTGGAGAGGAGTCCTTGAGAAGCTGAGAGTGTACTTGGCTAGTCAAGAAATTTTCAATAAAACAATCAAGTTTTTTTTAATAATTGTTTCCAGTGAAGGTGCAATAATGCACGACATATGCCCAATCAATATGTCTAAGTTATGTTTTAGAATGTAGTCACATTCATATTCTATTAATAATGGCCACTGTAAATAACATGCTTTTAATAATTTCATCAGTGTTTCCTTTTAGATAGAGAGAATCTGTTTGTTACATGTAAATGTCTTTTGATTGTTATAAATACTTGGCACTTGCCTTTTCAATAAAGAGGAAAATTCTGCTAAAATATGCATTGAATGTAAATGTTATAATAAAATATGCTGTAATAAGTAACATGGATAACAGAGCTATTACAAACTGAAGATATTTGATTATTAAAATGAGTGTAATTAATTGTTTTTATTTTTCTGTTTTCACGAATTAAGGAGCTAAAAGAGGCATGCAAAGTAAGTACAACATATTTCTGTGTATAACTTTTATAAGAGAATTTGTTGTAAGATGCATTTTTCGAAACAGGTGAGAAGGCGTGTCAGGAAGAGCCTGCAGACACTCATGAAAGATACAGATGAAGGTTAGGGAACGGACTCGCATGTCCCTTGTCTTTCATCTGCATGCATACAAAGTTTTTTGATATTATTACATGTCTTCTTAGATTCTTAATTGTACTAGTTTCTGTATGTTACTTGTTAATTTTGCTAGTTTATTGGGTGATAATGTACATGGAAAACAGAAATTCTTATGTGGTGGTGGATGACAGAATGCGTGATGAAGTTATATAAATATAGGTATTGAATATTTTGAATATGTAACATGACATTTTTGGGGAAGGCATTTACAATTCAAAATTACATTCATGAAGAAATTAAGGACTCTGATATGAGAGTTGTTTTATGCATTATTCTGGTAATGCATAACTAAATATTTGCTTGTGACCTGTACGTGCCTGTAGTCATGGTTGAGTATGTATTGTGCACTGCAAAGAGTACACCTTTTGAGTCTTGTTGGCACAACTGTGTTCTTTCAATCAGAGTCAGTGACAGTTGACTGAGTCAGTTTTCAAATGACACAAATCCATTTTTGTCTATGAATTTGTTGCAGTCGTTCGAGAAAGTACTTGTACAGAACATTCAGTTTGGCCTTTCTCCAAGTCTAACTGAAGCTATAAAGTCCATTCCTCGATGGAGATTAATACAGGCTTCTTTACCGCATGTGCTACATTGCGCCGCAAGTTTACTGCATAATAGGTATGTACAGTCTTCAATAAATTCATAGGTTAGTTCACTTGTGGTACGTAAGTGACAACCTACAGGCAAACATATGCTTTGCAACCATTTCTTTCAGAATTCTTAAATTTTTTATTAAATCATTCCATATTATATAATGAAGCTTCTGAGTGCGATTATTACAGTTTTGCAGATGTAGTTTAGAAATAATTACAAATCTAAATTTAACTTAAGTTTGTAAAGTTTGTCCCACTATACGCCATGTAGGCGTTTGGGGTGAGAGGAGGTATAGCTCCTCTCTTCCTTGACCTCGGCACTAGATGGGGGTGAGTGGTCAGCATCACGCCCCGG